GGAAGCCTGCTCTCCCTCTCCCACTCCCCCTGCTTGTGTTCCTGCTCTCGCTCTCTCTCTGTGTCAAATAAATAAATAAAATCTTAAAAAAAAAAAAAAGAATTCTATAATTCTGTAATGTAAGGTCACAGAAATATTTTCCTATTTTCTTCAAGTTTTTTTTTTTTAAGATTTTATTTATTTATTTGACAGAGAGAGAGCACAAGCAGTGGGAGCAGCAGAGGGAGAGGGAGAGGGTGAAGCAGGCTCCCTGCTCTGCGGGACTCGATTCCAGGACCCTGAGATCATGACTTGAGCCAAACACAGAGGCTTAACCGACTGAGCCACCCAGGCGCCCCTCTCCTAAAAGTTTTAATTCTCATTTTCCTCCTATTTAGGTCTTTAATCTGCTTACACTTTCTTTTTTTAAGATTTTATTTGTAAGTAATCTCTACACTCAATGCAGGTCTGGAACTCAACTCCAAGATTAAGGGTCACATGCTCTACTGACTGAACCAGCCAGGTGCCCCTACCCTAAAATTTATCATTAGCTTTCTATTAGTTATATCTCTTACTGTGCACTACTAAACACTGTAGTTTGAACAGTGCAAGGTATATTTGCTTCCATCCTTCTGCTTTCAACCTTTCTTCATCTTTATGTTGTAGTTGTTTCTTTTAAATAGGATACAGATTATTATTTTTCTTCCTTTAAAATCCCGTCTTTCTCTCTTTAACATACTGTATTTATATTTAACATCATGACTGATCTGGACTAGTACCTTTTTTTTTTTTTTGGACTAATAACTTTTAATATCCATGTACTAATTCTATCACCTGTGTCATTTCTGAGTCAGTATTTATTAATTTTTCTCCTCCATATGAGTTGTATTTTTCTGCTTGTTTGTCTGCCTAGTATATTTTCTTGGATGCCAGACACTGAGAATTTTACCTTATTGAGTGCCAGATATTTTTGATTTCTGTAAACACTCCGGAATTTTGCTCTGAGATGTGGTTAGGTTACCTGGAAACAGTATGATCTGAGTGAGTCTTGCTTTTAAGGTTTGTTACGTGGGAACAGAGCAGCAATTAGTCCAGGGATAGATTTCCTTGTTAATGAGGCAAGACCTTTCTTAGCATGCAAACTCCTGCTATCAGGAACAGGAACATGTCTGGCTTTACGTGAACTCCAAGTATTATTCCCTTAGATCCCGTGGGTGCTTCCTTCCCAGGCCTTGGCTAGTTTACTCACCTGCATAAGTTGATGAGCAGTCAACTGAATACTCAAGGGGGACCCTCTGCAGTTTTTTCTCTGTTTAGTTATCCCCTCCGGTCTCTGTTCTGTGAATTCCAGATGCCTGGCTTCCCAGGACTCCCAGCTCCATTTCCTCAACTCAGGAAGAACACAGGGCTCTGTTTGGTTCCCCCTCCTTGTGTGGCAGCCTGGGAACTTTCTCCAGGAAGCAAGGGGGGGCAGTCAACAGGCTAATTTCATTTGTTTCCCATCTCTCATGGATCACTGTCCTTCACTGTCTCATGTCCAATGTCATGAGACCCATAATATTTCATGTATTTTGTCCAGGTCCTCAGTTGTTTCATGAAGGAGGGCAAATCTGGTCCCTTTTACTCCATCTTGGTCAGAAGTGGAAGTCACCTTTAACTTTTTAGTATGTGTAACTTAAGTTCTCAAAAGTAAGTTAAAATGTTTTAATTTCCCTATACTCTTCCCCACTCCTGTATTTCTCCTTATTGTCTAATTTTTATTAATTGTTTTGCTTTCAAGCCTATTGTAGCCTCATTTTATAAAAACTATTGAACTATTTAGATGCATAAGATAATCCTTAATGGATATTAATAATAGTAGTTGCCTCTGGAAAAATAAACTAGGAATTAGAAAAGAAAGGGAGATTTACTTTCCACTGTATGCACCCTGTAACTTCTGAAGTTTCTATCATATGCACTTATTATACAAAAGAATTTTAAAAGTATTTACATTTTTAAATATGCTTTTATAATTTTTTTTGCTCACTGATATTTTCATTCCTTCCTTTGTTCAGTTTGCTTCTTGCAGAATAAATTGTCTCTGTATCTAAAAACAGCATTATTTGTCTGCACTCTTGAATTATAATTTAGCTGGGTATAGAATTCTTTGATGCTGTTACTCCAGTGTCTTGTTTCTGCTGTTGCTAATGTCAACCTCTTTTCTTTTTATAAATATTTTCCTTCAAGTAGCTTTTAAAATTTCATCTACAATGTGGATTTTTTTTTTAAGTATCTGCTGTTTGGCATTTGTTGAAGCTTTTCAATGTGTGGACTTTCATCATTTTCATCCATTATTTCTCTGACAAATTCCTTGTCTTTATTTTCCTTGGTCTTATTTTCTCCAAAATGCTATTAAGACATGGAGGATAGGGGTGCCTGGGTGGCTTAGTTGGTTAGCCTCTGACTCTTGGTTTCGGCTCAGGTCATCATCTCAGGGTTGTGAGATCAAGCCCTACATCCAGCTCTGTGCTTGGTGGTGAATCTGCTTGAGATTCTCTCTCTCCCTCTCCCTCTGCCCCTCCCCCCGCTCACATGCTTTCTCTAAAATAAACAAATCTTAAAAAAAAAAAAAAAGACATGGAGGAGACCATGGAGCGCAACATAAGTCTCTTCATTTCATTTCACATTAACCACCTTCTCTCTGTGTTGCATTCCAACAATCAGGCATTCTTGACTTGTTCAGTAGTTGCCTCAGTGTGGACCTCTAATCTGCATGGGACTTTACATTAGAGGTTCAGAATTCCTGTCCCTATGCTGGTAACACAGATGCCAGTCACTGAAATTCCCATTTCTGTGTATTTGCACTCTGCTCGGGGAGCATCAGGCAAGCAGCACATTTATGGTTCCAAACCCAGGTAGTTCTACAGAAGTGTTTTGCCTTGGTTTATTAGCACAGAGAGCAGTTCTAGATATGCAGCTTCATTTAAGAAACCAAATTCTGGCCTGGGGTCATGTTCAGTTTCCAATCTCATGCTGGTTTTCTACTTGACTCTAGTCTGTGCTTTCCATGTGCCCTATGACTTCAGCCTTTACTCAATATCAGTTTTTTTCTCACTGATTTGGAAATTTTCACTTCATCTTTGAACAAAGCTTTGCATTAAAAAAATTTATTTTCCTTAGCCATTCCCATGTGCAGTGAATTCTATTATTTTGAGAAGAAATTTGTACCACGTTTAATTATTTACAAACTAAATTTAGGTTTTTGTAAAAACTTGGATTCCTTTAAAATTCTTCTAATAAACAGATATATGTTTCTTAAATTCAAATAACTTAGTCGCCACTGCAGTTATAAAGTGAAATACCACTCAAGGCTGAATATACCTAAAAATACAGTATCAAATTCTTTACTTCACCTCATTTTATAAAATAATCAAGATTTTTTCTTTACCACTTTGAATTAAATTCTACTAAAAAACAAAGTATCCATAGGTCATTATATAGCATATCTATTATACACCACCATTACTCTTACCTTTTTACATTTACCACTGCCCCTCCAGGCTACATTCCAAGATCATGCCTTCTTCACAAGTACTCAGCAGTTGTCTCATACATTATATTCAATAAATCTCAAAAAAAAATTAATATCTATAGGATCAGCAATTAAATTTCTGAATAGCCTTTTTCAGTAAAATATACTAATTGTACAATTTGTGTACAACCTGTTTTTTTTTAAAGAAAATGTCTTAACTTTTGGTAGTAGCTTAACAAATACACAGGCAACAAAGGCAATTTAAAAATGCCTCAGGAGAGGGGCGCCTGGGTGGCTCAGTTGGTTGAGTGACTGCCTTTGGCTTGGGTCGTGGTCCCAGGGTCCTGATCGAGCCCCACATCGGGCTC